AATGAAACGTCTGCAAGAAAGCAATCCGGTTCCAAGAGCACCGAGGACCCCACAATCGTCTTCCTCTCCTCCTCCTCTCCCCCCTCTTCCTCCTTTTCTCCTCTCCCCCATTCCCCCCTCTTCCTCCTCCTCTCCCCTCCCTCCCTCCCTTCTAGCACTGATGATGTTACCTAGTTTGGCAATGAAACGTCTGCAAGAAAGCAATCAGGTTCCGAGAGCACCGAGGACCCCACAATCCTCCTCTTCCTCCTCCTCCCTCTCTCCCTTATAGCACTGATGCTGTTACGTAGTATGGCAAGGAAACACACGCAAAAAAGCAATCAAGTTCAGAGAGCGCCCAGGATCCCACAGTCCTCCCCCTCCTCCTCTTCCCAAACGCCCCTCCCTTCTAACACGGATGACGTCGCCTATCGTGGTAACGAAATGTCTGCAAAAAAAAAAAAAAGCCATCGAGTTCAGAGAGCGCCAAGGACCCTTGACAAGGGGATAGGTTTCCAATCTTCTTACCTTTAAAACTTTTGTGTAGGAGGTCTACGCTGGATGCAAACAACTCCACCATTGTGGACGAGAGGGAGGCGTCACTTTCCAGCCAGGGATAGCAGCGCTGTTTGCTTTCCAGACAGAGAGAGAGAAAGAGGGAGACAGAGACAGATCAGCACCAACTTTAGCTAAATGGCTGCTTCCCCCAATTCCAGCATTAATTGAAGTCTGCTTTAGGCAACTGGCTGTAGACTCAAAGAATGCAGCAAATGGAAGGAGCAACAGCCCCTTAGCACTCAGACTTATATGCCGCTTCGCAGTGCTTTACAGCCCTCTCTAAGCGGTTTACAGAGTCAGCATATTTACCCCCAACCAGCTGGGACCTCATTTTACTGACCCTGGAAGGATGGGAGGCTGAGTCAATCTTGAGCCAGCCAGGATCGAACTTGAAACGGTGGGCAGAGTTAGCCTGCAATGCTGCATTCTAACCACTCCGCCACCATGGCTCTTAGGTAGCGACTTATAACTAGGTGACAATGGCACGTAGACTTAGGTGCTGCACTAAACTTTACAGCCCTCTCTAAGTGGGATAATAATAAATATATAAATATATAAATATATAAATATATAAATAAAAATAAATAAAAATAAAAAGTTGGAAGGGACCTTGGAGGTCTTCTAGTCCAGCCCCCTGCTCAAGCAGGACACTCTATACCATTTCAATCAATCAAAATCAATCAAAATCAGAACAGAGCTGGAAGGGATGTTGGAGGTCATCTAGTCCGACCCCCTGCTCAAGCAGGAGACCCTATATCCGTGGTGGCGAACCTATGGCACGCATGCCACAGCTGGCACTCAGAGCCCTTTCTGTGGGCACGTGCGCCATCGCCCCAGTCCTGGGCCTTCAGCTGGGTTTTATAGAACCTTTTCACTTTAGGCCTCCGCCGCCATGTGCAAAAAAAAAAAAAAGGTTCAATCAATCAATCAACTTCTCGCAGGAAAAAAAAAGATCTCGCAAAGTTGGAATCGATTGATTGAACTTTTTAGACCCATCCAATATGCGGTTATCACCGCAGCCATGCCCACCCAATGGGCCACGCCCACCCAGTGGGCCACGCCCACCCGGCACCCAACGATACATAAGTGGGTTTTGCGTTGCAGTTTGGGCACTCGGTCTCTAAAAGGTTCGCCATCACTGCCCTAAACCATTGCAGACAAATGGTTGTCCGGTCTCTTCTTAAAAACCTCCCGTGTTGGAGCACCCACAACTTCTGGAGGCAAGTGGTCCCACTAATATGTTGTGACTATTTCAGCCCGCCATGACGGACCCTTTCTGAGGGCACCAAGGACACGTGCTTAAAATTTCCAGTGTGTCCACCATCCGGCCAAACAGGTGGAGATCCCAGGTTCAGTTCTATTTCCTTTAACCTCCTAAACAGCTTCCCCGCTTACCTCGTTTCTTGTCCCTCTAAAACCTCAAGCCACGGCTTGAAGAGTTGAATGGTCACTAAAAATAGAGAATGCAAAGCTGAAAAGAAAAGAGAGAGGGGGGGGGAGAGAAAGAGAAAGAGAAAGGGGGGGGAGAGGAAAGAGAGAAAGAGAGAAAAGAAAGAGGGAGGGAGGGAGAGAGAGAGAGAGAGAAAGAGAGAGAGAGAAAGAGAAAAAGAGAAAGAGGGGGGAGAGGAAAGAGAGAAAGAGAGAGAGAAGAAAGAGGGAGAGAGAGAGAGAGAGAGAGAGA